CCTGTCAATTCCTAAGCGAAATTGGAGCCTTTATATATATATTTGAGTTATATTATTTTTATACATGATAATTATGAGTTATAAGAAATAATAAAAATATAAAAGAAGTGTTATATTCGTTAGAACAGTTATCTGTATGTGTTAGCATAGAAACAAATACTCTGGCAAAGATACAAGAATAAAGATAAATAAATAAATTAGGAAATATTCTAGAGCAACAATAGCACGAAAAGTACAGTGCTAAACAATAACAAGGATAGTAATACAAGAATTATTCTAGAATGGGTAACATTTCAAGAGTAAATGCTAGTAAAAATCGGGCAAGATGTAGTGCTGATCTTGGGCGAAAAATCAAGTGTAACAATAGATAGGTTATTACATACAAGGTATATACAATGTTAATCTATGCTAAATACTCTATATAAACTAGAATCTACCTATAGGTGTAGGCCGTTTGGGTATAGTCTGCCACCTAAACTTTTTTTTACATCTTCCAGCCTCAAATTTGTAACCCTATTTTTTCAGTAAAGTCTTTAGACACTAAACAGATTATCCATTAGAGTACTGTGTCTCTGTCTTTTCCAGTTTTCTTTATGGGACATTAGCCTGGAGGATTATTGGAAAGCAGATGGAATCTATGGCCAGAATTGTTTTCAATATCTTTAAACCATGGTTGACAATCCAATTCTTTTAGATAATGCCAGGCTTCAAGTATAAGCTGTTTATTTAAGAGGGCACAACACCTCCAAAGTCAGGCTAAGTCTTAAAGGAGATCTTCCATTCTGGTAAATGTTATCAACTGGGTACTTTTATTACAGGTAAGAATGGTGGGTATTGCTAGTGAGTCATGACTCATGCGCAAGGGGTAATCATGCTAAACGTCTTTTTCTTTTATAGTCTTATAGACTATAGGAAAGGGAAACGGCCTGCTGTGGAACTAGGGATTGCACCAAACTTGATTATGATTATTGTAACACCAACTGGACGATCATCATAACACCAACCGGACGATAATTGTGCTATGATATCTTTTTTGGAAATCACAATCTTAATACCCACTGGATCAGTGTGTGAAATGGCTTTTTATAAGAAACAATGCTTAATAGGTTATGGCACCAGATATCATATTTATTCTATTTAACTGCCCTCACATGGGGTTGAACTGGTATCTTGTGATTTGACCTGTGGAATATTAACCACTACACTACAGACCACCAGGTCTTATAAATAAAAAAATAAATAAATAAATATATGAATTATTCTATAAATTAATTAAAAAAAAAAACTGTTCAATACTTTTTTCACCTCTTATATAACTAAAAACAATATATAAGAATAACCATTTTGCCTTTCAGAAGAATAATACAATTATAAATTCTTTATAATTATAATTATTACATTATTAGATCTTTATTCTCTTTCTAAATCTTTAATAAATATCTTTTGTTTTTATTATTAATTTAATAAATCTTTGTTAATCATTCTCTTATCTTTATAAATTAATTAACATAAATATTTTGGCAGGCTTGTACATATATGATCATATAAGAAGGACAGTTCTTGTAATACTAATTATTATTGAGTTGCTAAGCAATAATATATTATAATTGGCATAGAGAAAATAGTTTATTTTGCTATTTGTGTTTAAAGCTGCTCAAACAATATTCTAATTATTTATAAAAGTTAATAAAGGATTTATTTATTAAAGGGGTTCTTAAAAGGTTCTAATTCTTGAATACAAAATCTTTTGATAAAAGAATTATATATTAAATCTTATATCTTTCTTTTAAACTATTCTTATATTTTTAAATTTGATATAAATAATCAATATCATAACAATATATTTTTGGAGATTAAGCCAAAATAGATATATATATTTTTATATTTATTTATTATTTATTTTTATGTTGTATAAAGCCAATATATATAAAAGAATACTTTTTTGATATTAATAAAGTCTTAACTTCTGTTAATGTTTAAATTACAAATATCAAGGTTTATTATTTTTTGAATTTATTCATAAATTTTGAAAACTTTTACAAAAATAAAAACTTTACACCTTTTTAAAAAAAATTAAAGCATATAATAATAATTCAAAAAATAACAAAACAAACTGGCTAGCAAAAAAAGTCATAATAGAATATATAATATCCAAAATTAATTCAAACTAATCTTAAACAAAAAAACAAAATAATTTTAGAAATAAAATAAACAAAATATTAGATAATACAATTATAGAAACAATTTTGAACTTGATTGAAATAAAATATATTTTCAGTTGAAGAATACTTAATCAAAACTTAATAACAAATAAAAATACAAATAATAATAATATATATAAAAATTTAATAATTAATAAATACTTATTAAAAATTATAACAGACAATATCAATTAATATAATTATAATACTAGATTATTCAGATTCAAACTCTAGAATTTAAAACTTTTATTGAAAAACAACTTATCTAAAAGATAAGCAAAAACATATATTGATAATCAATATATTGTATATATTGTAAACCGATTAAAATAAATATATATATAATGACCTGCATATAATACAAAAAAAACATTTTTATAAAACTTAAATAAATCATTAATAAAAAAGTAAGCAGAAATAGAAAAGTAGATAAAATACAAGTTTGAAAATAAAATCAAAAATTATATAACAAGAAAAGTATCAACTAATAATTTAACTAATATAATTAAGAAATTTTTATAATAAAATATATATCAAGAAATAATCAAGACAATTCATAATTGTTTGTTAAATAAACTACAAAAAAATGAATATATAAATATACTAACTTTGCAAGATATAAAAAAAAAATAACATAGGGAAATTTTTTTGTAAAACTAATAAAAAAATGCCAAAAAAGAACCAAACTTATATTCTAAAAATCAATTTATTACTCAAATATACCATATAACATTGGTTCAACTAAAATATAATATATATATATAACAAATTTTTTAGGAACAGGTAGAGCCTTAGCAAATTAGTCAAGTATATGTTAATACCTGACAATAAGCTACATAGTAAAACTAGTTTTTTGGTGAATTTAATCAGATAGACAAAGTGGTAAATTTGTATAAAACAAATTTGTACATATTTATTCTATAAATCTAATAAACAAGGTATAAGCCACCTGTAAAAAAAAAAATTTTTTTTGTCTATTTTTATATTTTTATATTATATACATACTCAATCAAATAAATCTAATAAAACAAGGTATACAGTAAGTTACCTATTTTAATATAAATATATGTTTATTTTTATATTGTATAAAGTTAACATATATAATTTTGAAGTTACCAATAATTTTTTAAGACTTTTACATATAACATTTAATGAAAGTAAACATGTTTTTTTAATTTATAATTAATTGCCAAAAAAAAAAAAAAAACAAACTATTTTTTATGACAAATTAAATTCGAAGATTAATTCGCGAATACTTTAATTTTCAATAAAATTAATTTTCATATTGAATTCTTATCGATTTATACAAATTCATATAAATTCATACAAATTCATGCAAATTCATATAAATTTATATAAATTCATAAAAAATTTATTTATTTATATTTGTTTGACAAATTCTCGTTGTGTACTCAATGAATTCAATCATTTTTTTATAATTTCACAATGCATAACAGAATTCGAATATGCAGTAATTGTAACAAATATTTTAATCACGAATTAAAATTTAACCATTAGCATTATCAAACTGTATATTTAATTGAGTAACCTGATTCCTGATACCGCATTTTAAAATACATACTGTAATTGACTTTTGATCTTATTTTATCATTGGGCTATTGATTTATGAGTAAAATTAGAAATTTAATTGTTCATAAACTTTTTACGCCAAATTGCATGTATAGATTGCTGCTTGTGCTATTTAATCAATGGCGAATAAAAAAATTGGAATTTGGAAAATGAATTTTTAAAATAATGAGTACAGTATACATATAGTATAGTACTTTGATTTTTTTTTTCTTTAATAGGATTAATTGATTAAATTTTTATTTTCGTATTTTTAATTTAATTTAATATTTTTTGAAACGCATATCACCTTTTGCTGCTATTCAATTAATCAATTTCATCCGAATATTTTTCTTTGTTTTTGAAATGATAAAAAAAAAACAAATCACTCAATACGCCGAAGTAAAATAAAACGTCGATCGGTTGTAAAAAACGGTAGAATTCTTTAGTTAATGTAATACCAAATATGTTTACAATCCGTTTTTTAATGACTCAATTAAGGTTAACAAAAAATTCGCCTTGTGATCAATATCACCTTTTTTTCTCTTTTATTCTTAGGGATGACTTACTCGATTTAGTTAAGTGGTCATTCTGCATACAGTATAAAAAATCCTTTTTTATGAATATTATAAATATTGTGAATCGTCAATTAATTAGAGGAGTACGATAGATTTGATTTATTATATGATGTAATTAATCTTCATACATAGGCGGAGAATCAATTGACTCCGTTTAAATTAACCAGACACAATCGATGATCCTTAGCGCATAATTGCTGTGTTCCTATTTTACCGATGTATATTACAGATAAACGGAATTTCACATAGCACGACAGGGACACTGACCGACCCCGTACGTATTGTTTGTCCAATGAGAAATGAATTTATTCGTTTTTTTCCACGCTCACAAGTACATTTACAAGTGGAAAAGAGGTACAATTTATGGTTAATGATTTGAGTAGTTTGTTGTCAGAGAATTCTTTTTTTCGCATCGTGGTAGCAGCACCAAGATGAACATTAGATGTTAACGGGATTTCTATTAATTTTACATAGTAATACAATTTATTGATAATCAACTTATTTTACCGTGATGCTTATTTGAACTATATAGTTAGTCTTCTTGTGGTTGGATAGAACCAGTTCGTCGATAGATCCGTTGTACATAATGTATAATATAAACATATCAATAATAATTGCTATAATATGATTGAAGGAAAATAGAGCTGTTTTTCTACTAATATATTCTCATGCGGGGAGAAATTGGTGGCAACTGTATGTTGTATTGAATGTTAGTGGGTATTCTCTCAAGGGGCTTAAGAGGTGGAAACGGTGTGGCAGATAGTTTCTCACGATGGTTGAGAAAGGATAATTGTATGTCGGGTAATTTTTTGATGAATTTATCGTCGTCGTCCGAAGAGATTGAAAAAATTTCCAAAGTTTTACCCTGAGAACTGAGAAGTGGTCGTGCCTTAACCTTATTTTTAACAGATGAGTCTTCTCTTTTTTTCTTTATTATTCTTTCCCCTCTTTGCGTTTTAGAAAGTTTTTGGTTCCAAGTATTTTTAATATTATTTGGAATACGACCATTACCTAGCCTCTTTGCTATTGCTGCCCATTTACAACCTTCCTCGAATAACCTGTATATCTCGTCTATTTCCTTTTCCGTAAAAGGTTCTTTATTAACTAAAATCAAGAAGTCTTCTGGTGAGATGGTTCAAAAACCTTGCAAAAAAAATGCCACCACATAATTTTGAGGTCATACCTTGGGGGGCCAAATGACCAAAGTATCTTTGGAAGATGAGAATCCGTTAGTTTAGAATGATCTAATTCCCACGAAATCGAATATCAAAATTTACCTTTCTCTACATTGCTTAGAATCCCTGGTTCCTACATAGATTGCTACGTCGCGCCATCTTTTGGCACCATGTTTACTGACATATTCCAGTAGCCTTGCGTCTTCCTAAATAGGATTAAACCGTAATGTGAAAACAACAAAAAAAAAAAAAAGTCATAATAAAGATGATTGTTTTATGATTATTGATGGTCGTGCGTTTTTTTTTTTTTATATATAAATACCTCCATACTGAATCTACCATGATGGCGGTTTTCTGAATACGTTTCTTGCGAAGCCATCATGTCTTGTGAAATTATGGTCAGGCAAAAAATTCCGATTACTGTATTTATACGCCAGATTGTTATACAATTTTATCATATAATAATAATAATAAAGCTAACTTTTTGTGCAATTCGTGATGTTAAATAATTTAATTTGAATGGGGACTAACCATTCTTAAATAGATTTCTGTCACAAGGTCTTTCTCTGTAGATTAGTTTCTAAATTTATGTAAGCGTCTAATTAACGATTACGCGTAACAGGTGCAATACATAACCTTCACGGAAAGACGTAGGACTATCGTATTTGCAATAACGAAGAAGCATGACACAGCATAACTACAATGTTTCGCGTATTTTCTGTTTACAATTTCTAGAATGATCTATTTATAAATCCTTAACAAGGAAAGCTAATCACATGATTAGACAAGATGGAATATACAAATCCAAAAGACTTTACAAATGATAGTGCACCGATAACTATTGTATGAAAAGGCTCACCTGATAAACTATCAACGTTGAAATCAGTCAACAGATGTCGCTATTTATGTATAAATAAAGATCTAAACTATTTATTCTACAATAAAATTTAACCTTACCATCTATCTTAATATTCATCTATGTACCGATGTATGTAGATATGTAATTTTTTTTTTCAGTCTTTCCATTTATTTTATTTTTTATTTTTTTACATTAGTCATCATTGGAGATTTCGGGATCTCGCTCAGAACACACGCAATCTCATAGTAAAGATTTGAATAACGACTCACCTCATTTGCTTGGTTTCCGATAAGACGATTTTTACATTATTTGTTGAAATCATCATGAAACTTCGTTGTCCTATACATATCTGGCAAATCAACGCCTATAGCCTTAAAAAAAAAACCTTGCATTCAAATTCCGTACCACCATTCTCAAATAAAGTAAAGCCTGTATTTAATAAATATATACTTATTGGTTCTTTTTATATCTATTCTATTGTAGTATAGATAAGATTGGTGTATGAGAAAAGCATCTTTATTTCTGGATGCCAATGCACATCCGGAATGAGGTTGATAAGAAGAATCATTCGTCGACCGTTTTAAAATAATCATTTGTCACTAAAGATTTTTCCGTTCAAGCAGAATCGAAAAAAAATCAGGAGAAAAAAGACAATGCAATTTGTTTCAGAATAATGTACAAGGGTAATTGATTATTTGATATAAATGGATTGTTCAATGACAGTTTCAAGGTATGCCTTCCGGAGAAAAGGTGAATGTTGCATACTGGGAGATCAGTCTGCATAAAGTCGTTTTCGTGAAATCCTACTGTGAAAAGGTATGTCCTTGGGAATTCCAAGAAACATTACCGAATGTTATAGACTTTATGATAAATTCGCAAAGATTATACGTGTTTACGGCCCGAACAATTAGAATGGTATGATGAAAACCATTCATTGATTACAAGAATATTGGATTCTCGGAAGTGTACTCAAAATTTATAAAGAAAGGGAGGGAGGGAGGGAGGGAGAGAGAAAGATGAGTATATAGAACTAAAAGAACCAATTCATGGGTAAGGCATGAAGAAGGAGAATCATGTTCATAACTGGTAAACCTTGTGCGGCTGAATCTTGGAACACAAGCTCGGCCGAGCGCCTTTTTACGGTTGTACTTTTTAAAGTTTATAATGTAATGTTAACTTCAGTTTATAGAAGAACACAAATTATCGTTTAAACAATACCCATCTGCATCATATTAATATATTCATGTACAGTACATACTGTAATATACTATATTTATAAAGATATGATTAATGAGTTTTTGCAATAATGCATCTACCCATGCTCGTGACGTTGCATTATTAATTCCGAAATACAAATAAATAACTTTGGAATTCATAAGTTATATTCCATAGTATTGATTAGATAATTATTTAAAATTATAAAGTTAAGTTAGAAAGTAGCAATGATCATTTTTAAACTCATTTCCTACTATTCAATATTGCTATGTGTAAAATTTTTGCATTAACATGATAAGCTTACCCATTTTGGTAAAATTTAAGAATCCCGCGTATTGAAATGACAATTAAGTAAGTAAGATAAAGTGGTGTAATTTAATTCTTTTTGAATGCATAGAGTAAGGATAAGGCATAGTATTTATGTATATGTTGTATTGTATGGCATAAGGTGTTTTGTTAAATCTGTAAATTGCAATAAACAACGAAAATTATCAGTAAAGTCACATGACCTTGATTTGTTTTATGTACCGTATTTTTTTTTACCTTTTGTTATAAGTGTTTTATATCAATGGAAAACGACCGAGCGTTTTTACGTCAAAATGCGATCTTTCTGGGGAAATTGTCGAAGATTGGGGCGCCTTAAGGTGCCTTTCCTTGGCTTGCTCAAAAAACTCTTTGAAATGAGGTAGTTGTATGTTAACTGGTGTAGTAATGATGCTTCTGTCTTCAAAAGCGTTAATCGTGTCAAGTTTTTTTTCAGGAAATTTATAACAATTGACGGATGTTAATTGTGCATCGACATTGTTTTTATCTTCCAGAGATATTTGTGGAGACCCTGTCTTAACCCTACTTTTTATATTAGACGACTTATCGATAGTTTTCTTTGTTATCATTCCCATTGGTGATTTAGCTAGCTTTTGGTTCCAAAGATTTTTGACGTTATTTGGAATACGACCATTACCTAACTGTCGCGCAATATCATTCCATTTACAGCCTTTTTTAACTAATTCATATATCTTTACTTGTTCTTCAGATGTGAAAGGTTCCTTGTTAACTAAGTGAAATAATGATTCGGATTATTTTTTTAAAAAAACTCCAATCCATAATCACACAAATTTATAGTTCTTACCATCAGGAGCCAAGTGTCCGAAGTATCTTTATACAAAATAACTTCGTTAATCTTTGGTATTCTCGAGTTAAATAATCTAAAATCAAAGTTTACCTTTCCCGACATTGTTTTGCGTCCCTCGTTTCCACATGGGCCGCGACTTTACTCCACCTGCGGGCACCATGATCACCGACATATGCGAGCAATTTAGCATCTTCCTAAATAATGTTAACCATTATAGAAAAGGCTATGCGGCAAATAATACAGTATCTCTTTGTAATATTGCATGCCTTCTTTACCTCAGGATTGAATCTTCCTTGATTACGCCTTCCTTGATTACGACTTTCTTGTGAAGTGGACATTGCCCGAATTAAAATCGTAGAAGTAGAATTTTTCTATAAACCTAATCGGATAATTTTTATAACCGATGCTTTATTATTGAACTTCCTGGATACAGTAACCTGAATGATGGCGTTGGGGATTTCACTTAATATAATGAAATTAGTATAATCAATTCATGTGCCCTTCACTTATAGAAAACCAAATTTGCATTAGCTTATGGTATTGTGTACATAAACAAAAATACGCAAACAAACGGGAATGGTAGCTGCGCACTTACTTCTTTTTGCTTAAAAACTGTTTCATTTATATCTTTGGATGCGCGCAAACGGATTCCATTTTGGAATTCAAAAAAAAAAAATTACGCCACATTATCAAAAAAAAGCAACACCTCGTTAATTATTAATAAGAAAGAATCTTTGATTTTTATTATGTTATCGGAATATTCCTTTTGAATAACATTCCATCGTAAATCTGTTTTGAAATACCGAAGGTACTGTAATTGCCGAAAAAAACATTGCGTAGGATCGTCCGAATTACCACGATCTTTTTTCCGGAGATATTTAAAATCTTAACACCTAATTGAAAATTGATCCCCATTTTAACTCTTTCTTTGATAACGAGCAAATTTGAGTCATCAAAAATGTTATACAGTAACAAAAAAAATGGCATGATCTGTCTGTTTGTCTGTTTAGATTATGTAACCGACCGGATTTGGTCAATATGACGCTTAGGAAATTCAACAAAGACTCGGTGCAGTATTACAATGCGCAGGCGCATGTATAAAATGTATATTACGTATTAGTGCAGACCGATTATACTGGATCGAAAAAATGCCTACAGTACTAAAGGTATTCCTTTTACAGTACGTATAATACTGTACAATATACAGTATCTTTATGATGATCAACCTTGATAATCGCCAAGGGTACTTGGTTCATTTATCCCCATCAAACGAATTTAACGTGTGTGCATAAACGTGTATTTCTTCTCAAGAATTAACAAACGTAAATGGATATGTCTAAATGGCGAGGATAAACGTCCAAAAGCACCGGTAAACGGATTTCTTTCTTCTCTTTCTTTTTTATGGTGCTAATGAAAGGAGTTTTGTATGTGTTTAGCTTGACATTGCACACAAATTAAACATTAACTAATTCCATTATATGCCAATTTCTATCATTTAGATTATCTTCAATTATAAATAATAATAAAAAAAAAAATACTTAAAATATATAGTTTTGAGAACTTTTCTTACTCAGAGCTATCAATCGTAGAAGCTATAGTTTTATTTAAAGACAACTATTGCTTATATAAATGTTATATATTTTGCATTCAATTCTATTTAGATAATGTCCAAAAATCGTAAGACAGGAAGATTCTCCTCAGAGGTAAAATATGCACATGATTATAACCTCATTCACAGCATAACCTGACTTATGACATTTAGGAGGACATTAAGGTACTTGAGCATGTTAACAAACATGGAGTTGGAAAGTGGAATGATGTTGCAGCTCATGTGGAAACTAGGGACGCTAAACAATGCAGAGAAAGGTGAGGTTCGATCTTACTTGTTTAGTCATATCACGTTACGATCTTAAGTTTCTTCGTTCTTTCTTGCCTTTCCAAAGGTACTATGGTCATCTAGCTCACAATGGTAGGAATAAAGAGTCATGTGGAAATTGAATAAAATATTGTCATGGGGTATTCATTTGATCCGTAATCGTCATAATTACTTTATTTTAGTGAACAAGGAACCATTTACGAAGAAGGAAGAAGATAAAATACGTGAGTTGGCTATGGCTGGTTACGGGTGGGCAAGTATGGCTAGAGAATTAGGCAATGGTCGTACTTCAAACAACATTAAGAATTGCTGGTATCAAAAGCTTTCCAAAGAAAAAAAAGGAGTGAAAAAGAATAAAAAAAGATCATCTGTAATGAAAGCACAATCACTCAATAAAAAGCCCAGTAACCAGTTGGTGACTAACGTAGACATCGAACAACTTGACAATTTTAACCAGGAAATAGACGTTGGCCCAAACGAAGTACATGTAGAAAGAGTTTTTCACGAAATCATTAACACTGGATTTATTAACACTGGCGGATTCATTAACACCGATGGATTTATTAACACCAACGGGTTTATTAACACCAACGGATTTATTAACACCAATGAATTTATTAACATCGATGAATTTAATCAACAACACCTTTATACCTTAGCACATATGTAACAACTCCAAAACGAACTTTGAACTCATTATTTTGAAATCGAGAGACGAAATCATACTTAATTCAATTTATTATTCTTAGTCATTTATATGTTTAGCTATTGTGATTATTTATCTGATTCAACAACAATTGATATTTCGAAGCTTCCAATGACTTTTTTTATTAAAGGTGCATTGTTGAATAAAGATAGTCTTTTGTTCTTAGAAATGTGAATTTTTTATGCAAGATACGATTCTTATGAAAAATTGTTAAATCACGCACATGTACAATATGTAAAAAATGAATGTAGATTTGGTAATAATATGATCAATTTATTATTGGAAAAACATGCGTAATATCATTTGTTGCAACTTCAAATCAAGGTTAAAACGACCTGTTCATTTACCAGTCATTCAAATTCATCGGTTTTGACGTTTGCATCTTCAATAGGTATTGGTTCTGATTGCATCAAGATAAACATTTGACGCAATAAGAATTGGCGCAGTAAATGGTCGTTATCCGTGAATGTTGTGCACAGAATAATCTTCTGATTAAAAACTTAGATTTTGCGATGCATTTTCAGTGTTACATTCTGGATTCTGTACAACAAATCACAATATGGATTGGGAAAATTCTCGGATCTTGTATCCAGAAAACTTGGAAATCGGAAATCATAGACTTTATCATAAACCGTTACAGTAATCTGAAGTTGGAATATCGGATTTGGGATTCTAGTTAAAACAACAAAATATAGTTGGTAAATTGGTTAAATTTATCGGTAGAAAGAACGAATCAAAATTCTGCCGTTAATCTTTTTCGTACAGCTTAACCAAAGAAACCGGTTTTACATACTGTACTGTAATTTGTGTTCGCTATAAATGGATTGATGATTATAAACTTACTCTTTGAATCTTTTCCATTTTTCAGGTGTTACCTATAAGTATCCTGATGTCGATGAATTATTAGATACCGTAGTATTTCGAAAAATCATTTATATAACTGTCTAAAAATTAACCTTTCTTTTTTTAAAATTTATGTTACGTAAACACAGTGCATATACTTCTGTATACAGTATATCGTATAGACGTAGTACAGTACATAGCAAGTTTTGTTCCTGCCTGTAACGTACGGTAACAGTAATATCCGTGAAAACGGAAATATGAACGATAATAGAGATTCCTAATAATATTTGTCATTTGGCATCTACTGTATGTGAAATTCCTATGATAATTCGTATTAAAAAAGAATGTAAACAATGGAAATTAGTTCCGGAGAAAAAAGTTCTCTGAACGACATACTATTAATTTTGCATGCAATTTTAGCACACTTACCTCTCTGACCATTCGTAGTATTATCTCATACTTTGAAATATCAATTACTCTTTACCAAAGTCAGGACAAAACCTGATTCTCCGTTATATATTTGAGCAAGATATTTCTGGCCCCATTCGAGTTCCGACTCATTTCTGCCTCGCACGAATAAGATCATTTTTTTTACGAATCTACAATTCCCACACGTCTTTGATGCATACTCTTTGGTGCAGTAAATGAACTTGCGACCTCTCAACACTCTCGATTTATGATGTAAACCTGCTATGCGACCAAGTTAACATCGCACATGCAGTCTTTGACATCATCTTACTCAAACATACGAAAACAGAACTTATCTAGACTCTATAATGAATATTCTTTGCCATCAATGATCAGGTAATATAAAATAATTCTCATTTTTGAAATACAATCCGTAAAATAAATAGTAAAGTAATAGATTTGTATTGTTTACATACTGTATTCACTGTGATCTGATTTTCAAAATCGAGTAGCCGCGTGGCACGATATCCTTTTGCATGCATACTGTATTATAGATCAAGCTAATCCAACTCAAGCAGGTGTTACTGAATTCCCACGACTTTGTTTCAGAGAAGGCTTTGGCGTTGTTTGCCCCCTTTGAAATCCCTGATACTTAACATCAGAATCATTTAATAACATAATTGAATTTCTTTGACCGGAACACAAAAACCTTGTGTCATCGTGTTTAGCTCCAATTAAGAAAGTCCATTTATAGAAGTTGCTACAGTTTCTGTGTTTTGAATTATGAAAATTATTAATATTAACAATAAATGACGGAATAGAAGAATACAAATATTTCCTAGTGTGAAATTCTGTAAAACCATTTATATTCTTTTCGTTTTTTTTTCTATGAAAAATCCTTTTTGCTCCAACTTGTGCGCATATTAGTAATATGGTGCGAGAAAAAAGATGCCTACGTAATTTGCCTCCCGAGATTTTCCAGATCGACATTTGGTGGAGTACTGTGCGTTACTTATCTGATTTTATCTGATTCCGCTACTTGTTAAAACTGGTGTAAACAAGTTTAACTCTTATTCCAATGTCGAATGAATTTAAAAAACACAAGTATCAATGATTGATACCTCCAAACTGTCTTTCTTTTTAAATAATATTAAACTATAAAAAGAAACTGTTATGGTGCTCTTAACTGTTTGTGACTATGTTTATGTTTAATTATTTTTTTTCCACCGTAATTCGTGTGTTCACGGCTCCTGGAGTCGTTATAAAAATTCTATACGTAATTTATCCTTTCACTTAATACATAAAGGGAAACAGATAATCAAAAAATTACAGTTTCTCCAATGTTCCTGGTTATTCTTTAGGCGTTTTCTTTATCTTGTTGCAACGTTAACAATCAAATTTGGAAGGTGACCATTGATGAATATTTCTTCTTTGCACAAACTGTAGTGTAACACATTACCCACGGTCGATAATTATGAATACATGCGTACCCGGAAACTTCCTAGTACTCGCTTCCATATATAAGTGACCCTCGTTCGGTTTAAACTTGAAGCATTTTATCAAAAATTTCATTGACCACAAACATGTCGAAATCACAACAAATACCCGATGCTTACATACTGTATCGCAGAGATATGATAAAAAAATTTGAGGACCAAACTCCTCAAACTTTAAAGTTGATTTCCGATAATTGGCATCAAGAATCGGAGGAAGTAAGAAATCACTATAGAGAACTTTCTATAGAGATGGCAAAAAGTCAAAACGAACATCAGACTAAAGAAGATGCCTAATCAGGAGAGTATCGACCGTTCATCTCAAGAATTTCAAGCTCCTATTTCTTTCTTGTTTGAAGGAAATCATAAAATTTATGAAGTCGAAAAGAGCGTCAGATATTTATAGGAGACGATAAACTAATCAGGGTGTTATAAGCGGCGGTACCATCATATACATATTATAATTATAATTATTATTCACGCATTGTCATTTCCAAAAATTGGTAGATTGTCAAAAAAATTTTTATTATACTTGACTCATCAAAATTGTATTTTACAAAAACCATTGTTTTCTTACCTTCCAACATCAATATATATATATAGTATATATATATTCTATAAAAAAATTTGACGTTTGATCAAAATAAAATAAAATTATGATAATTATCGAAAGTTATGAAAATTGAACTACTGTAGTCTTGAAACCTTAAAAATGCTGCATTCATAAAAATTCTTTATAAAATATGATGCCATCGAATTTTTGAATGTTTCCGTTTTCATTTAATTGCCATATTGACAAAGAAAAAGTATTCGTTTAATTATCGACAGTATTATGTTATTTAATTTTTAAAATCTTTGGTTTGCCTGAAAACCTCGATTTTTTTTTTATCTTGCTTTTTATTACCAGAGGCAACCACATTCGAATTTAAAATTTTTTAATATGAAATCATCCATCATCAAAAATTTAAACTATCCTTAAATTAAATTATTGATCAAATCCTATTTTAGAGCAACGTTGGTAACTTTGAACGGTTATAACTTGAAATTGCACACGATAAAAAAACTTGCATGTCGTCTTCAATAATATAATTGGGTTTTATCCCTACATTTAAACATAATAGTTTTGATTTTTAAATATAATTTTTAAATATAATTTTTAATGTCGTTTTTTAAAAATCCACTCGAACCAATCAAATAAAAAAAAGGCATTGTATTAAAATATACTTTCACGTGATCGTTTATCGATTGTTTTTTTCTTAATAAGAAAATTTTGTTTGTTTAATTCCTTCGGTTGAAAGTAATTTGTGAAAACATTTACAGTTTTAAATTAAAAGATGTTATATTTTATACTTATAATTCAATAAATAACAAACATAATAAGATGAAATTTTCTATTTATATATTTTCATATATAACGGATAAATTACTTCAAAGATCTTTATAAAATAAATCATTATAATATTGATTAATTTTAGTTTTCAAAAAAAATATTAATATAAATTTATAAAACAATATAATAAAATATTTTGTTTGCAATTTTTTTATCGATTAAAAAATTATTTATTGACATATTTAATTTTGTTAAAAAAAACTAGCAATTTTTAAAATTTTTTTTTCATAATTGTTGAAAATTAATTTTACAAAATAAAAATTAATTTAATTTAGATAATTAATTAATTAAATTAAATTGATATAGGAAATATGTTTTGATTTTTTTTATAACTCAATAATATTTTTTAAATTTTATATCAATTTTTTATTGTGAATGGACATTAAATGCAAAACTTTATTTAAATAAAAATTTACTGTTATTACATTAACAATCTTTACAAAGTAAATTAATTGTAACCTATTGCAACTAATTTATTGATATCAAGTATCACCATAAAGATGGGCACATATTAATAGTACTAAATGATTAATGCCAGTTCAAAACAATAATATTACTGTTAGATAAAAATTAATTTGTCAATATTATTAATGAAATGTTTAACAAGTTCAAGATTTTATTGAATATGAAGTTATTATTTATGGCTAAGTTTGAATCAAATTTTTTTTTTTTATTTTATGCCAGATGTTGGTGAAGTTGTTACTGTAACAAATTACAGCTTACATGTTTTGTAAAGAATTTTGAATATATAATTAAAGATTTTTTTTTAAATAATAAGATTGAATTTACAAATAGTTAAATTCAATAAATTGCTTTTTGTTAATTTAAATATTATAATAAAATTGGTAACTTTAATATTTTTAGAATTAAGATTCAGGATAAAGTTTTTAAGTTTAAGTTTTTTTTTGTTAATTAGAAACTTAATATATATACAAGAAAAATATATAGAGAGACCTCCCTAAATACATCCTCTATAAATGCACTTCTTATATTTTCTCTCTCTAAATACACAGTCAAGCTTGATTCCAAGTATATAGAACTCTTAATAAAATTATCTCCATAAATACACACCCTCTATAAATGCACATTTTTCAAAAAATTTCCTATGGTCCTGAGGAGTATGCATTTAGAGAAGATTCACTGTATAAAAAATCTTCTAAATATGTATCATATTTTGGATACAAATTGTCAAGATATTAATTGAGATATTATTTGTAAAGCTTGATTCTAATTGTAAGCTAATCAATGAAAAGTTTGATTCTGAGTATAGATAATACTTTATATTTTAATAAATTATAGTTTTTTGGTTTGTTATTTGTTTTGATTATAATTTTCAATTCTTTAAAAGAAAAAGGTTTGTAAGTAAATAAATAGCTAAGAAAAATATTAAATAAATTAATATAAAAGTTTATAAATTTAATTCAATATGTAATACTTGTTATATAAGTATTATTAATTAGTAATATAAATATAAATATTAAAAAGAAATACCAAGAAACTGATATATTAATTATAAAATATATATCAGTTAATAGTTGGAGATTTTTTAATTTACACCTTTTTTTTTATATAATAGATGGCTTATATCTTGTTTATTAAATATTTTTAAGATAAGTATGTACAAATATATCACTCTTTCTATCTAATTAAACTTACCAAGGAATATCTTTACCATGTGACTTATTGTCAAGTACTAATATACTTGACTAATTTTTCAAGACTCTACCTATTCTATAAAAAAATTTTTTTAAATAAATAAAATAAGTTTCAGTTGATCTGGTAATAGCTAACATGTTTCATAATCGCATTGATTCCTAGAATGAAGAATTTATATATTCTTTTTTGTGTTTATAAATTTTCTATAATATTTCATATTACAACATATAATATTTCATGTTAAAAAAGTCATAAACAAGACATTGTTTATAATTAATAAAGAAAAACTTTATTAAATTTAAAAGAAACCAGACAACTCTGTTATGTTCCAAAATAAAAAGTAATAAATAAAATAGAAATACAAATCTAAAATAGTACATATAATTTTATTGATTCTCTGGAAATCATATGCATGTAATATAAAGTAAAACAATAAAACAATAAACCAATGTTTCATCTTAATTATCCTAATACTTTTAAAATTCCTTACTAATAATTTGAGAAACTAAAAGTGAAACAAAATAGAACTATTGATATTTGTAAACTTATACTATTATATTATAATATCAAATACCTTTTGGAATTGGACGTCACATGTGTTATATACTAAATATCACCTGCATATGTCACATGTCCTAAGTATAATAGAGAATTATAAACTCAAGATATTTCAAGTTCCAGATGTTCTAAAGAAACATATATTGAACCATTGTATTTCTAGAGTGTTTCTTCTTCCATTGACTTGTTTGTGCCACTTGTGTAACACACCTTGTGTCACTCACTTCACCAATAGTATTGTTATATTTTTATTTTATTATTATTATTATTATTATTTTAAATCACAAACAGACATTAAATGCAAAACATTTATTAAACAGAGGTTTATCATCATTATATTAACAATCTTTAAAATACATAAAAATCAAATTAATTATAGCCTATTGCAACTTTTCAATTAGTATGCAATGGCACCAAGTAGGTATTTGCATACTAAAGGTGTTGAATGACTAATACCTATTCAAAATAATGATACTATGGCTGGTATAAACATTTTTTTGTTAGTAAGATTATTTGAATTTTTTAGAGTGTTAAGTATTTTCTGGAAAGTGCTTGTATTTGAGAAATTGGTGTTAGAATTTGTAGCTAATATAGTTTTTTTCCATATAATTCCTAAGGTTGTTAAGGTGATAGTGGTTGCTGAATACTGTTTCCAAATTTTGTTTAAGATTTTAAGAGAATAGTTTGAAATCTCTTCTTTTTTCTGAATAATGTTAAAGGGATTATTGAACCTGCCAAAAGCTAGATCGAGTAAAATTTTGCCTGTTAGATTGATTGTTTGAAGAAGGTATGCCTTACTTGAATTTAATTTCTCTTTGGAGATGTTAAGAGCAATAAGAGTCTCAAGTTTGTTTCTTTTTTTTCTCAGTGTGAGAAGACTATAATAACATGAAAAAATATAGTCTAAAGTTTCTAGGTATACTTCACATCGAGGACACTAATTATCTTTGTAGAGAAGGAGTATCTTTTGTAGAGTTTGTCTCAGATAGAGAGTTGGTTTGCTACAATCTTGATTCTGAAGGTTGCTAGTAATCAAAATTTTATTCTATCTGTTTCTGACAATTTTTTGTTAGATTTAATGATAATGTCCATTTTGAAAAAGCTTCTGAGTTTGTTTATAGCAGATTCACTTAGAAGAATATTAAAAAGATTGGTATAGTAGTTTGTGAATTTGATCCATTGTGTGATGCTAATTGCAAGATTAAGATTGATTAGTGGGAATGTGCTGTGAACAGTTGGATATACAAGAGGAATAGGTGTCAGTGTGCCTTGATGAGTGGTTGAAGGAAATTGTTTTTGATCAAAGACCCAGGTTAGAATAATCTGTTTGTTTTTGAGCTATATATTGATAATTTGAATAAAGCTGCTGTGAGAATATTTTACTTGACGATTGATGTATTTGAATAGGTCAGTATTGAGTTTGTATGTGGAGAAGCAGGTAATTGTGGATAGTCAAGGAGCATTTGAACAAAGCAAAGTGAGAATTAACTATAACAGAGAAAGAGAATTAAGATTCAGTTTATATATGAAGAGTGCCTGAGAGTCATGCATAATAATTGTACTATTGTTTAAGAAGTAAATTGTATATTGAGTTGGTGCTAAAGATAAAGATTGATAGAAAATTGTTATGGTTAAAGTATAAAGGAGTCAAGAAGAGAGACTATTAGTAAGTTCTTGCAAGTTGTTAAGGATATAGTGGATATCATTCCTTTTTGTTGATCATATAGATTTGAGTTCATTGATATTGAGAGTTTTAAAACATGGCTGTATGTTACAAGTGCATGCTTCTAAATATTTAACAT